TCACACGCCTCTCCAGAGACTGACCTTCACCCTCTCCTCTGAGGCTTGTGTTGTCAGCCTTCATGAACGGTGTGTTGGTGAGTGGGTCAGGTGCAGTGGAAGCAGGGGCCGGCCCCCTGCATCTCAGCCAGATACCGCGCCCATGCGGGCCACGCAAACAATGTCACTTTTCCTCTACTGTTTTGTGTACTCACTCTATCTGAGGTAGGCAGTCAAGCCAAAACTATTCATATGGGGACAGAATATACATGTATGTTTGTGTATATAAGTGAATATACGCGTATCGATATATGTATACCTGTGTGTATATATATACTTATATGTGTGTGAAAATTTGAACATATTATTTACAGGAGAGATTCATGGGTAATTTCAAAATAATTGAAAAATAAAGAAATTAAAATTAGTGCTTGGTTATTAACCATTCGCATGGAAACATTTCACCTTAAAATTAGTGCTTGGTTATTAACCATCCGCATGGAAACATTTCGCCTCAGTTTCTTCCGAGTTTTAGAGCCTTGTGCTATTCCCCATGGCCAGCCCTTTTTGCAGTTAGTTCTCCAGCGTTGTGTGTGGGCCTCCTTGTGCAGGACTGCGTGTTGGAGCACGGGGCGCGAGGGTCTGCCAACCACCCCCCCACGCCATCCCATATACGTTGTGACCATTGTAAAGCATCTCAATCGTCTCTCGGGTGTGAAGCATGTTCTGAGCGCTGGCTCTCAGTGGTGAGCAGGGCAGGGCGCTGTGGAAACGGCTGTGGGACTGGAGCGTGACCGGCTCCCCGTTAGCTCCGGAGCAAGTGGATAAGGGCATTCTCACTCTGGCCCCAAGTGCACCCTAACGGCTGAAGACTGCTAAAAGGTCTTAAAAATAGGGATCCTTCCTGTTCTGCTGAGCTAAGAGGCTTTCTTTTTTTAAAAGCAAGAATAGCTTTCACTTTATCAAGATTTTTTCTGCATCATTTTCATATTTTCACATAGTGGGTTTTCTCCACGTGTTCATTATGTGGTAGATACCATTCCAAGAACTTCAGAGAACATGTATCTCTTGCCTTCTTAAAATAAGTCTTGTGTATATAATTGTTCAAAATTAAACTTGCTGATTTTGGTTTTTTAATTTTCTCAATTTTAGTCTATTCTTTTAGTATTGATATAATTTAGTTACATTACAGAAAGAGATCATAGTCTGTATGACCATATTTCTTTGGATTCCTTGTGTTTTGTTTGACTTGTCAGTTTCTGTCATTGGTGTACTATATATCTCTTAGCATGGTGATGATTACGTCTGTTGTTAGATTTGTTAGCTTTTGTTGTAAGTGTATGATGTTAGCTGCATCAGCTTCATGATTATATTCACTTACTTTCCCAAGACACAGAGCATTAAAAGTACATTTGGAAGCTTCCCTTCCCCTCCCCCTGAGTGAGTTTGTTACTAATCCCATGGACTTCTTTACACTTGTTTTAGTACCATAAACTCTCCAGGGTAGATAGTATGGCATTTATGTGTTTGAAGTCTAATTTTAACTTGACTTATGCTAAAGACAAGTGAAATTATCTCTTTATGTCAATTAGCCATTGGAGCTCTTCTTCCTTGAGTTTACTGTTCTTTTACCCATTTTTTAATTGCTTGCTTTTTCTTATTCGTTTCTAAGATATATTAATTAGGGGTAATGTTTTTAAATTCTTTTTTTTTTTGTCAGTTGTGGGGCTTGAACTCAGGGCCTGGCGTTGTCCCTGAGCTTCTCTGTGCTCAAGGTCAGTGCTCTATTACGTGAGCCACAGCTCCATATCTGGTTTCTGAGTGGTTCATTGGAGATACAAACTACATCCTCAGATCTCAGCCTCCTGAGTGGCTAGGAGGACCGGCGTGAGCCACCAGTGCCCAGCTTGTTTTTAAATTCTTTAAAAAAGTGATTGTAAGCTGGGCACTGGTGGCTCACGCCTGTCATCCTAGCTACTCAGGAGGCTGAGATCTGAGGATTGCGGTTCAAAGCCAGCCCAGGCAGGAAAGTCCATGAGACTCTTAACTCCAATGAACCACTCAGAAACTGGAAATGGTGCAGTGGCTCAAGTGGTAGAGCGCTGGCCTTGAGCTGAAGAGCACAGGGTCAGTGTCTAGGCCCAGAGTTCAAGTCCCATGACCGACAAAAAGAAAAAAAAGTAATTGTACGAAAGGTTTTGTGATCTATGCATACGGTATATGTATTTATATGTGCAGGTGTATATGTAGATAGATACATAATATAGACATACTTACATATACACATGGCACACAATATGTATATGGTATGTGCAATCTAATATATGTACAATATGCATGCACATCTACATAATGTTATATGCACACACAAACACGTGCATATGTACACCCACACGTACTAGTTTTAATATTACATGTGTTTTTAACATACGCATGTGTTCTCGGTTTCCCAGAACCAAGCCGTGTGAACCTGTAACAACTGGAAGGCTACAGGCTCACCTGAAACTTTTAAAGTTCGCTGCACTTGTTCTGATTTTTCCCAGTGGGTTCCGCGTCCACACAGACCTGCCTTTTGCGGGGAAGACAGGTGGTACCAGCGGCCGCCGCCCTCCACCTCTACCTTTGGGGTGGTGGAGCCGGTTTGGTCTAGCTGTGCAGTGTTGTGACTGACACCTAGTGTTGGGGAGTGATACTTTCACCCCCCCCCATAGGTGTACTTTTCTTGAAGCTTTTCACACCTGTGTGCCACGTAATTGGTAAGATTCTCTAAGAACCCCCGTGTCCCCTGAGTTCTTACTGGAATGAAAATCTTGAGATATTCTCAGACATTTCAGAGGCCTTGAGGAGACAAAGCTGGGAATGTGTGCCGGTCATTTCTGTGTACACAGATACTTGGTTCCGTAAAGTGATTAAAAAAAAAAAGGCAGATTGGTGCTACGAAAAGAAAAGGCACCAATTAGATTAAATACTTGACTAGAAAGAGCTTTGTTTTTATGGAGGGCAGGTCTTTCATATTTTTCCTCGGAATGCTGAATTCTTCCATGAAGGAGCCTTTCATATTTTTCATCTTTCATGCAATAAATCCCCTTTTTAAAGACATATGTCAGGCTTCCTTCCTGTGGACAGGGACATTTTAATTCATTCATTAACTCCTGCTGGGGCTCAGGTTCCTCTCCCGGTGTGTTTACAGAGCTCCAGAGCTACGGGATGCTGGGCCATCCTGGTATTTGACCTGTGTGACCCACCACCCTCTCGGGGTTGAACTCCTCACTGTGTGGGGAGCAGCCGCACTAGTAAGTCACATTGTGGAGTCATCACGCAGCTCGGCTCATAGCCATTGCTGTGCAGCCTTTCCATTCTGCTCCACTCTCCGAGCTCTCAGAATGGAGGGTTTATTCCTCCTACACACTCCCTAGAGACTGTCTTGTCATTCTTACCGGGATGGGAGTGTTTTTCTGACACCTGTAGCTATGGTACCGATGGCAGGATAATATTGATTTAAGGACATGAATAATGGGTGTTGCTGAGTGGCCTTGGTCAATACACTAACGAATTAGTCATAGCCACAGCATCACACCCTTAGAGGGAGAATGGATAATTTCAGAATATGGTCTGTGTAATTTTTATTCAGAGGGCAAATGCGATTCCCAAAATGCACTACTTTTGCAAGAAGGTTGCTTGATTTATGCTCCCTCCGTGAGTCTCAGAGGCTTGGGATTGATTCGGGCTTAGGTATCTGAGCACATGGTTTGGGACTCAACCTCAAGACCATGCTCTGACTTCTGAGTTCTGATATGGTCTAGGAATCGGGGGTCCCCGTGTGTATAGTGATCTGTGTGTGATGCACAGGAATCCGGGGTCCCTGTGTGTATAGTGATCTGTGTGTGATGCACAGGAATCCGGGGTCCCTGTGTGTATAGTGATCTGTGTGTGATGCACAGGAATCCGGGGTCCCCGTGTGTATAGTGATCTGTGTGTGATGCACAGGAATCCGGGGTCCCTGTGTGTATAGTGATCCGTGTGTGATGCACAGGAATCCGGGGTCCCCGTGTGTATAGTGATCCGTGTGTGATGCACAGGAATCCGGGGTCCCCGTGTGTATAGTGATCCGTGTGTGATGCACAGGAATCCGGGGTCCCTGTGTGTATAGTGATCTGTGTGTGATGCACAGGAATCCGGGGTCCCTGTGTGTATAGTGATCCGTGTGTGATGCACGGGAATCTGGATGAAAATTGGGCCAGAAATTCAGCCTCAGCTGTAGACTCCTGACTTTCTGGGGTTGATCTCAAGACTGAAATCAGGCCTAGTGCTTCAGTAGATGAGCTTTCACGTGGGCTTTAAAAAAATAGGCTCCTCGGATCTCACTTATCCCCCACTGCTAGCACATTTGTGTTGGTTCTGTTTGTTCTCTGCGGGGCTAAACTAATTCCTCCTTGAAGACAAACACCTGAGTCAGTCCGTATTGGAGCACAGCCAGGAGACGGCAGATGACAGGCATCCAGAGACACATGGCCGGCCCTGGCAGCTGGCCGGGCTGGGGGCCGTCGCCGGAACCTCCGTCCCAGGCACTGGGCTGACAGGTGTCTGCCCAGTCTCCACGGATGAGGGCACACCCATCACCTGGCGGGGAGGGCTGCGCCTTCCACCGCGAAGACGATGCCAAGCCCTAGCCTCTACCACGTGGCCAAGATGGCGCCGGCAGGGAGGGCTGCGCCTTCCACCACGAAGACGATGCCAAGCCCTAGCCTCTACCACGTGGCCAAGATGGTGCCAGCGGGGAGGGCTGCGCCTTCCACCGCGAAGACGATGCCAAGCCCTAGCCTCTACCATGTGGCCAAGATGGCGCCGGCCAGACCTGTTCTCCCTGCTGCGCCTGCTCAGCTCACTGGTTACAGGGCCTCTGGGTTCTGATGCTCAGTGTAGGCTGCCTCTGGGCGCTCGGAGAGGGTGCTCACGTGAATTTTCTGACTCATTTTTGTACATCTGTGTAACTGGTTCTTTTTTTTTTTGTGATCTTACAGAATACCAAGCTGCTATTTTGCACTTGAAGAGGGAACACAAAGAAGAAGTTGAAAACCTGCAGGTATCTCCCCCCCCACTCTCTCTCTCCCCCCTCTGTCTCTGTCTCTCTCTCCCTCTCTCTTTCTCTCCCTCTCCCTCTCTGTCTGTCTGTCTCTCTCTTCCCTCCTCTCCCCCTCTCTCTCTCCCCCCTCTGTCTCTCTCTCTCCCTCTCTCTCTCTCTCTCCCTCTCTGTCTGTCTGTCTCTCTCTTTCTCCCCCTCTCCCCCCTCTCTCTCCCCCCTCTGTCTCTCTCTGTGTCTGTGTCTGTCTCTGTCTCTTGTCTCTCTGTCTCTGTCTCTCTCTCCCTCTCTCTTTCTCTCCCTCTCCCTCTCTGTCTGTCTGTCTCTCTCTTCCCTCCTCTCCCCCTCTCTCTCTCCCCCCTCTGTCTCTCTCTCTCCCTCTCTCTCTCTCTCTCCCTCTCTGTCTGTCTCCCTCTCTCTCCCCCCCTCTGTCTCTCTCTCTCCCTCTCTCTCTCTCCCCCTCTCCCCCCTCTCTCTCCCCCCTCTGTCTCTGTCTCTGTCTCTCTCCCTCTCTCTCTCTCCCTGTCTGTCTGTCTCTCTCTCCCCCTCTCCCCCCTCTCTCTCTCACCCCCCCCTGACTCTACTGAACTGGTTATCTGATAGCTGCTCTCCTCAAGTGTTCATGAGGAGATATTCCTCTTGTGTTGAAGTATTTAATGAGCCTGCACCCACCTGTGGGAGGGTTTAACCTGGGAAGAAAGCCTTGGGTGCTGTGTTTAATAAAACCCAGTCCCTAATTTTGATGATGACACTGTAAATGCCTTTGATTCTATGGAGAAAGGGGTCTTTTGTCTTTAAAGCAGGAGAGAGGGGATAATTAGACTTTCATTGTTTAGACGTTGTTTTCCCTAGCACAGTGTGGGACATTTCCCTTGTGCTCTGGTTCCAGTGCTCTTCCTATAAAGACCAGTCCCCTCATATCATAAAAGTAGCTGTGCTTCTGGTAGTTCACGCTCCTCATGATTGCGAGGCACTGGCACCTGCCAAGCGTGAGATGTGCCTTGGGCAGAATGCCACATCTAGTGGGGATGATGAGGATGGCCCCTGACATTAGCTGCATGCGCTGCGTGCCAGGCTTGGCAGGGATCCTGAGTCATTGTATTTAGTCCTCACATAGCTTCTGTGCTCAATGATTTGCTGCTTAGTTGAAAAAAACAGAATTTTCACCATCAAGGCCGAGTAACAACAGACAGCTTAAAATAAGAGCCTGATATTCCTCTGAGACTAATGAAATGGAAGACTGTGTGTTGGCTTTTAAAGTGATCTCGTTCATGGAATTTGCTAATTTCAGATCTCTAAGAAGTCTCTACTAAGAAATGGGTCAAACCTTAATTTTCTACCACTACAAATGGTGGCGTTCCCACACCATCGTTGGGGGCTGCTGTGTGTGTCAGCGTGGTAAAACTCAATACAAAAGATGAGACTACCCTTAGCTGCACAAACACTTAGCAAACAACACATGGAGAAATGTATATTGCAAAGCTATGTGATTCTGCACCGCACTGGGTCTAGGCTTACTTTAAAGTCATTCCCCAGATTCGCCACTAGGGGTCAGCATGTCTCTATTTCTCTTAAACCAAGTAATTGAAGCATTTTTTTTCCTCCCACTGAAAGCTTTTGCCTTTAACATTCAAAAAGGCTTCTAACTTAGCTTGTCACACAGGGAACTCTGCACAGGAAAGTCTGTGCATGTCTTAACAATGCAGGCATAGAATGCAGAGTCTACTTCCCAATGCAGCCTGTGTATACACACACACACACACACACACACACACACACACACATTTTATGTGATAGAAGACAAGGACCATCTACATAAAGCCTTAGGATATTAAGCATCAGTTGCTGTTTTAAAATGGAATATCAGGCTGAGTGCCAGTCTCACACCTATAACCCTAGCTATATTCAGAAGGCTAAAATCTGAGGATCACAGATTAAAGCCAGCCCAGTCAGGAAAATATGTAAGACTCTGACCTTCTGACCACCAAAAAGCTGGAAGCTGAGCTGTGATTCAAGTGGTAGAGCACCAGTCTTGAGCGCAAAAGCTCAGGGAGAATGCCCTGCACTAAGCTGAAGCCCTCGGACTGGCACCAAAAAATTAACTTAAAAAGATGGTCTTCACCACTCCTTCAGTACCTACAGATAAAGTTCCTACTGGGCGCAAATGCTGTGCGGGACAGCGTGGGGGAGTGCGGAAGAGCTCAGGGAGTTTGAAGGACTGCACGGAGGCCCACGTGACTGGGCATGCCGAGTGCCGGACAGGGCGAGGCTATGGCCTGGGTTGTGTGTTTGTGCACTGGTGTGTGCACATGTGTGTAAGAAAGCAGGACTTACGATCGCTGAGGTACTCGGATGCATCAACCCTCATATTTAAAGAAACGCTGGTTTGCTTATTTGCTGCTCTACAGGTTGGCCTTGGCCTGTGGTTGTAAGGCAAGAGCCTCCCAGGTCTTTTCAAAGTTCCATCCCCAATGTCATTCTCAGAGCAGTGAGGCTCACGGCTCAATTGTGTGCAGAGGAGGGCTCTGGGTTGTGAAGCTCTCCCTGTCTGCTGCTGCGGAGAGGAGGAGAGGCTGGCTCCCGCGAAGGGGCGGCTGTGCCCTGCGGGACAGACTCCTCGCTGAAGGGAGGAGGAGGAGGGGTGCTGCTGCCCCCCCTGCCTGTCCAAGGATGAAGCGAGAAAGTTGGATGTGCTTTCTTGGATATGCGTCTCTCATCCGAACCCAACACACACCTGCATCCAGGCACCCAGCCTCGGGCCGGGCCGGGGCTCACACTGTCCGGGATGCTGCGGAGACGGTTCTCTGTTTGTTTTGTTTCAGTGATTGCTTCTGACACCTCAGCTGCAAGCAGATCGTATAAACAACTTTCAAAGCATTGAGAAAACATACAATAATGGCCTTTTTCCAAACTTGGTAGTGGAAGTTAGTCAGTTGAATTATATAAAATTGATGCTCTTTGGCTTTTTTTTTGGGGGGGGGGAGTGTCTATCATGGGGCTTGAACTCAGAGCCTGGGTGCTGTCCCTGAGCTCTTCGCTCAAGGCTAGTGCTTTATGACTGAGTCACGACTCCACTTCTGGTTTTCTGGTGGTTAACTAGAAAAAGAGTCTCGCAAACGCTCCTTCCCGGGCTGGCTTTGAACCGTGATCCTCAGAGCTCAGCCTCCTGAGTCGCTAGGATGACAGGCGTGCACCGCTGGCGTGTTTGTCATGCTTCGACTTGTTGGATGTGACTTCATGTAACATGATCCCATCAAAAGGCAAGGAGAGGGGGCCATGGTGCTCCTGTACACAGCATTCCAGAATGTTCACTGGAGCCTCAGGCCAGGTGCAAGGGATTGCCGCTGCACAGGCCAGGCCCCGGGAGCCTGCAGAACGCGTTCTTGGGTGACTCTCTCATGACTCGGGTCCTGTGTCACTTAGAGAGGGGTTTTGATGACCCATTTTCAGCCTTTAGGAAATCCATGGAAATTTAAATTATGGTTACTGGTTTATTCACATGAGTATTCCCTGTGTGGGAGATGTTAAATATATCATGGGTCTTTGTAGCTGAGACCAGACTTAGGCTGAACTAGATAAAATGTGAATAGGAACTACTATCAATTTTTTTTGGTCTTTTGAATATAGATCTTTTAAAAATGATTTGTACTCTTACTCCCTGGTAGGTCTTCTATAAGAGTAAGATTTTATTCCTCAATTAGGAGTTAAAGGAATATGATACCACATATGATACCAGAAGATTAGGAGAGTGGAATCAGTGTCTAATTTCTATTATTGCTTGTCTTTTCACCAAACAAATGTTAAATGTTTCATTATTTTTACCACACGTACAAGTTTTTCTTTGTTTTTGCTAAATCAAGTTTAAAAACTTAGACATGACCTGCCAGTCACTAATAAATAACCTGAGAGACTTCTGGTTTTCTAATCTGTTTTCAGTTAGTCCTGCTGGAAATTTGTGAATTCTAAAGCTGACTCTCATTTTCCTACTTTGAACTTGTGTTGTCTTCAACCCTATCCCCTTCTGTCTTCTGTAGTGAAAAATCTGTAACTACTATACTGCAGAACAGGCTTTTCCTTTCGGTATTTTTTTCTCTGCCCATCAAGTGGCACGGATTCTAGTCTTGATGAGTATAACACAGCGCTGATTTTTAGGAAAGGGGCTCAGTCTTGAAGTTTGAGAACCGAAGGCAAATAGGAACTCCTTTATTCCTGCTGTAAAGCAATGGTGGATGGGCTCACCGCTGAGGGAGGAGAAGGCGAGATTGTATTACAAATCTGGCAACATCAGCCACACCAGTAAAATCAAATCCAATGATGTTTTATGACTCTGAATTTATGTGAGTGCCCAGATCAAAGGGCTCCAGTCCCACTGGACTATGAGGTCCATAGTTCATGGCAAAAACTCATCAAAAAGAACGTTTTAGTCGTTTAAACTTTTCATTTTAATCAGCCAGAGTAATAAAAGAGCCTTTAGGTGTCCAAAAACATTTTGCAAGATCAAGAGGTTGTTTTCCCGCCCGTGGAAGCAGCTTTCTTATTGGATGCACAGAATGCTCTGGCCGGAGAGTGGCGGAGGGCCTGTCTCTGCACTGTCTGCCCTGGTGGGATGGCTCCTTTTGGTTCTTCTAACTGTGCATTATGTGAGAGTAAATTACGGTGCCTGACGGAAGGACCATAAAACTTTCACACCATTTATCATGCGATTTCGGCCATTTAAAGTGAGATCTCTGACAGCAAGCCAGGTACTTTGTAATGTTCAGACAGGAACATCCTAGCCAGCACCGGGAGACAGCTCTGCGGGGTGAGAACACGAGGCTTCAGGCACTTTGCACCAGAATGGAGTGATTGTGGGTGCGTCCCCAAGAAGCAGAAGAATCTGGAGAGGAGGGGGGTCCGCTGGCTCCGGGAAGAAGGAAGGGCATTTCTTTTGAAGAGGAATGTGGGTCTACTAATACCTTCATTTCTTTATTTTTGCTTTTTAGCACACATGCACACACAGAGGC